GTTTTGTAAGAGTTATTTGGCAGAAAGGGCTAAAAAACATATGGTAAAATCAATTTCAGAGATATAAATAACGAAATCTTCGTTTGACCCATTAAAGCTGGTCATCTTCGGGTTCGATTAACAAAATCTTTATTCAAAATCCAGTATTTTCGGGTCGGGTCTCGGGGCAAAATATGAGCGAGTCAATTTTTCCGAGGTCTGATGCACACATTCAAAGATAGTGCATAACTAATGAACTGCTGCATTTATGTGGACAGGTCTCTAATTGAATTTGGCAAGGGGTCTGAAAAGAGGACAGGGTTTAGCAGTTTCAAATCCCGAATCACATTGACAATTCCAAACAGTGGAGTGGTTGAAGTCTCGGGTGAAAAACAACCTGACAAGAAGAGCTCTGCAGATTCTGCTGCTCTCTCCATGCTCCTTGAACTCGAGCGACAGGGGAAGATTCTCATTCGTAAAGAGCGTTCGAATCTGTGATCTTTGAACCAGAACACGGAAAACTAAGCCGGTTTTTGGGTGTTGTGAATTGGCTGTTTGGTTAACCTAACCTGGGCTTTATGTCTCTGTAGTGAGCTAAGATTGAAGTGAAGCTTTTGTCAGTTGTAAGTAGTAGTACTAGTGGATTTGTTGTTATGACAAACAAGCAATGATGAAGGTGAAGATGAGGTAATTAATAAGATATATGATGGCCTAGTCCTTACTAATTAATGTTAGCACTTTAGATAAATTTTTAATGGTGTAGTTTAGCATAGAAAACGCCGAAGCTAATACCAAACATAGCTAATGAGAACGATTTTAGAATCATCATTGTCACTCAACATGAGTTACGATCTTTTTAAAATTGTTGACTTTCGGATCAATTGAATTGATGTAACAATTTTACATTAATTTATTAGTGTAAGATTACCCCTCCTCTTTATATATAAATAAAATGGAGTTAAAAGAAGAAAAAATATGATAACATGATATTATAACTTCATATTACCTCTGTTTTTGAGTATTTGTATGTTTTTGTTTTTTTACACTCGAAATTGATAAATTTTGACCATTAATTAAACAAAATCTAAATTAGATATTGGTATAAGAATAATTTTATTTAGTTCATCTTATAAAAAGTTTCAAAATATTGTTTTATCTAATAAATGTACAATGTAAATTTTCTAAATTGAAAGTTAAATTTCGATTTTGATTGAGTACACAAAGGCAACATTGAACAGATATTTTGGGACAAAATTATTTCATACTAAAAAATCACGGGTCAATTAGATTATAGGTATGTTTGGGAATAGCGTTAGCGATTAGCGTTAGCGTTTTGAAAAGGCTATCTACGAGTAGTGTTTAGCGTTAGCGTTTTCAAAGTAATCTGCATCATTAAAATTTTATCCAAAACTCTAACGCTAATCTCTAACGCTATTCTTAAACAGGCCCTATATTCAAATTTAGTTTCGTATTTAGAGGGTAATTTCAAATTCGATCAATAATATCTTGAGTAATTTACCTAAATAGGACTAAAACATAATAACTTTCTCAATATAGGATCATATGTTTTTATTTCCCAATGTAGGACCATTAGTCATTATTTATTAGTCATTATTCAACTAAATATCTAGCATCATTTGGACATTATTCGTCTCACTAGTCATTATTAAGTCTTGTTTAGGTAATAAAAAAATTTAAGTCTTACATTGGAAAATAACTTTTGTTTTAGTAAGTGCAAATTTCACTAATATCTTAACATTACTTTTTTCGAGCCTAGTTATCATTCTTTTATTTTCATGGCAAAAACCAAGATTTGTTTCTCAAGTCTCAAACAAACCGCCAGCACTGACATTTTCCACCCGAACTCGACGCTCCTGGCGAAGCTTTTGGATCATTGCATCGCCACCAGGTCACCATTGGCAGCGCGTGCAGTGCACGGGCGCGTCCTGAAGAGCAACTTCATCCACGAGGTCTTCATCAGCAACCGGCTCATCGATGCCTATGGGAAATGTCGCCGCCTTCCGGACGCCTGCAAGGTGTTCGATAAAATGCCTGAAAAGAACACCTTCACTTGGAACTCGATGATCAATGCCCTCGCAGCTTCTGGACTCCTCGATGAGGCTGAGGAGCTGTTCGAGCTGATGCTGGATCGTGATCAGTGCTCGTGGAACTTGATGGTTTCGAGCTTTGCCCAGTGTGAAATGTTTGATTTGTCTGTGGAATATTTTGTGAGGATGCACAAGGGCGACTTTGTTTTGAATGGGTACTCGTATGGTAGTGCACTAAGTGCCACTGCTGGGCTTAGGGACTTGACTGTGGGTGCTCAAATCCACGCTTCCGTGGTCAAGTCAAGATACTCGCTTGATGTTTGCGTGGGCTCCGCACTCATTGATATGTACTCGAAATGTGGAAATGTGGAGTGTGCTCAGAAGGTCTTTGATGATATGAGGGAGCCCAATGTGGTGTCGTGGAATAGTTTGATCACTTGTTATGAACAAAATGGGCCGGCAAGTAGGGCACTTGAGATTTTAGTCATGATGATGCACAGTGGGGTTGAACCGGATGAGATGACCTTGGCAAGCTCCATAAGTGCTTGTGCAAGCTTGGCCTTACTCAGAGAAGGCCGTGAAATGCATGGCCGAGTTGTCAAGGTTCATAAGTTTAGAGATGACCTCATCATAAGCAATGCTTTGGTGGATTTTTATGCAAAGTGTGGCAAGATAAATGAGGCAAGACGGATCTTTGATGAGATGCCCGTAAGGAGTGTGGTGTCTCATACCTCAATGGTAAGTGGTTATGCAAGGTCTTCAAGTGTGAAGGCGGCTAGAGCAATGTTTCTTGGGATGATGGAAAAGAATGTGGTGTCTTGGAATGCCCTCATAGCTGGATATACCCAGAATGGAGAAAATGAGGAGGCTTTAAATCTCTTTCTTTTGTTAAAACGGGAGAGTGTTTGGCCAACGCATTACACTTTTGGGAACCTCCTAAACGCATGTTCAAATCTCTCCGATCTTAGACTCGGAAGGCAAGCTCATGCACATGTTTTGAAACATGGTTTTTGGTTCCAACATGGCCCGGAGCCCGATGTTTTTGTTGGGAATGCTTTGATAGACATGTATATGAAATGTGGATCGGCTGAAGACGGCAGACGTGTTTTTGAAAACATGATCGAAAGAGATTGGGTTTCGTGGAATACAACAATAGTGGGGTTTGCACAAAACGGGAAAGCAATTGAAGCTCTTGAGATCTTCAATGATATGTTGATGTTGGGAGAGAAACCAGATCATGTCACATTTATCGGCGTTCTTTGCGCGTGCAGCCACGCGGGACTTGTTGAAGAGGGTCGTCGTTATTTTTATTCTATGGGATGGAAGTATGAATTGGAACCTCTGAAAGACCACTACACATGCATGGTCGATTTACTTGGTAGGGCCGGTTGTCTAGACGAAGCAAGGAGTTTGATAGAATCAATGCCAATGTCTCCAGACGGTGTTGTGTGGGGATGTTTGCTCTCTGCTTGTAAAACCCACGGGGACGTAGAGTTGGGTATGCACGTAGCTGAGAAGCTTCTGGAGATTGAGCCTGAAAACTCAGGTCCCTATGTCCTTTTATCAAACATGTATGCAGAGAGAGGGCACTGGAAAGACGTTACAAGAGTACGTAAACTGATGAGAGAGCGTGGGGTTGTTAAGCAGCCTGGTTGCAGTTGGACTGAGATACAAAGTCAGGTTCATGTTTTTATGGTTAAAGATGGAAAGCACCCACGGAAGGAGGAGATATATCTGTCGTTGAAGACTCTCACCAAATTGATGAGGCTGTTTGAGCTTGAGCCTGATTTGGAATGATACGGTTTCCATTCTTTTGGGTTCATGCACAGAGTTTCAGTCAAGATGAGAACACTGCTCATGATTAGTTTGCAGAGATTTATCGGCAGAATTGTCTAAGGTTAGTATTGCAGTTTCCTTTACTAGAATCTTTCTTGATTTGTCACTGAGATCAGTAAAAACTTGCTTAAATATGCATGTGGAAGGACCCTGTGCTCCATTGAATCCATTCTTTGATATGTGACAGAATCCTGGCCGAGTAACTTGTAGCCCCCATCTCAATAACTCAGTTAAAGTCTCACAAGGGGGTGTATGCTACACTGACCTTACCCCTACCTTTTCAAGGTAGGAAGGGTATTTCTAGAAGACTCTGGCTCAGGCACAAAAGACAAAGACAAAGGTTTGAATGAAGAGGAGAAAAGGAAGATTAGAGCATGTAGAGCATCACCAGGCAAATATCTAATTACATCTAACTAATGTAATTAGACCCGAGTTCTATTCCTGGACAGCACTGAAAGGATGCAAACGGGAAGGCCTTTCTATATCTACTCAAACACTTGAAGGTTTACTTGAAACCTCTCCTTTTGAAATTCTCCCTAGTGCACTTGTGCTAAAATGTACAGAGCCCCCCCCCCCCCCTCCCCCCAAAAAAAGGTCTTCTTTCAGTTTTTACTATCACAAAAAAGAAACATTACTTCAGTCAACTTTCTGTTTTTAGTGTAATTCTCGTAACAACCATACTAGGGGTACACCAAAGAGTGTACATCAAATTGTACACCAAATGTATGCACCAATATTTTGATGATTCACACTGACACAAAATGCTAGTGAGTCAAAAAATTTTGCACTAACATTTTGAAACAATGTAAACCATCGCACTACACAAAATGAAGGTGTACACCTATGGCAATTTGGAGCAAAACTTTTGGTGTACAAGTAGCTTAATTCTTCTTGTAAAGCCAAGTGGCATATGGAACCTTGCTTATTCGACATTATAAACTTTTCGTGCATGCACGTGCATAATTATCAAAAGTTTTTAATGTTGAAGTATCATAAATTGGAACTGAAACCCACATATGTCCTCGAATAATTTGTTAAGCCCAGTAATGAGTCTGTAAGCTGTTCATTAATTTTCTTTTGCAGAAGTTCTGCCAATAAACAAAAACAGTAAAAGCAAGGACCATGGACTTCAATTTTCAGCCTCTGCAAGTCACTTCAATGGCCAATGCCCACAATTGATGCATCCAACACTAAATCAAAGTTAGTAAACATCTAAAAATTACTACTCCCCAAAAAGATGTGTTTTCGATCCTATTTATTTGTTTGCGTTCCAAACGAACACTCACTCCGTCTCAAATTGAGATGAAATTAATTGTTTCTCGTCCAACTGCACACGAGCCTATCTTTGCTCGTAGAGAGAATAAGAGCCTGTTTGGTAAGGGTGATCTGGCAGAAATGGCTGAATAGAAAAAACAACCCTCTAAAATCCCACCTCTGTTGGGGTCTTTTTTTTGTTGGGGTTTTTTTTAGGGGGGGGGGGCAAGATGTACACAGTCTTATCCTTGTAAAATCAGAGAGATTTTTCCATTAGACCCTAGATGCATTGTTCTATTTATTGACTAACAAGCAAGAGAAGAAGACCCTAGATGCATTGTTCCATTTACTGGCTAACAAGCAAGAGAAGTTTAATGTGCCATTTTTATGTAGTCCATTCTGCGCCTGAAATCAAAACATTGTCAATAATGACTCTTTTTTAGCTCTATTAGCAATGGACGGGCTGGACAGGAAAAGCGTATGGTAAAATCAATTTCAGATATATAAGCGGACGATTGCTACTTTATTCATATACTCCGTATTTCTGAATAGTATTCAAGATAGTGCATAACTAGTAAAGTTAACTACTGCATTTATGTGGACAGGTCTCCGATTATATTTGGCCAAGGCTCTGAAAGGAGGACATGGTGTAACAGTTTCCTATCCTGAATTGCATTGTCGACTCCAAACATCAGAATGTTCGAACTCGGCAAAAAACAACCTGATAAGAAGAGGGATTTCGCTGCTCTAGCTATGCTTTGTGAAGTTGAACAACAATGGAAAGATCATCGTTTGTAAAGAGCAATCAAATCTCAGGTTTTGAACCAAAACATTACATTTCTGACAGGGAAACTAAGTTGGTTTTGGATTTAAACGTCTGTAAACTAAGTGTGCTCATCTTGCAGTATTATGTACAGATGGAAAATGCTAAAGTCACCCCAACTCTCAACCCACCTTTCACTCCAACCGTCTCACGGATATCCACGGACATTGAACAATAAGGGGTGTTTATATATATGGGAGAAGGTGGGGTGAAAGGCAGGGTGAGAGATGGGTGCCCTAAACTTGTTCTTGTACGTGTGCAAGATTCATGTGAAGGTTGTAATTTTGTAAGCACCATTTAAATCACTATGAAGATGTTGAAAACAAAATTTGAGGCCATTTTTCATTCTCCATCTAATTTCATCATACAAATTTATTTACGTCTATCATCTCTAATCCGCGCCCCACACGGCAAAACACGCAATAGATCTCTTCTCCAATTCTTCTTCTAATTGTGCCGTGCCGCCATGCATGGATCACAAAGCAGAGCTGCAGAGATCGCTCTTTCCATCTTCTTACTTCTTTTTCTTATCAAGTTATCAAGCATTTTTTAAATTTTTTTTCCCTTTTGGTCTAAAAATTAGCTTATGTCAGTTATGTGTAATGTGTTATTTTGTTAATTGTTGTTGAAAATTGAATTTGTTAGAGAATAGGATTATAAGACTATATGAGTAAATTAAAGAAAGCAAATTGTTGCAGAAAATTAGGTCTTAAAAATATGACTATTTTGTTTTTTTACAGAGATTATTTTTTTTTTGAAATTGTGCTTAGAAAAGGTAAAATATTGTAAAGACTTGTACATAATATCCGTATATACAAAAATGGAGATTTTTTCGAAACGGAATGACTTATACATTATATTTGTGCTGACCAAATGTGCCCCCGATGAAAAATTTTCTACTGGTTGAGATTGTATGAGATGATAATACGTACCTTCTTCAATAAACACAAATTACCTAGGTGGCATTTTAAGCACAAATTATACGTACCCTCTTCAATAAACTTATTTTTACACATTTTTAAGTTGAAAACTACTACGTAATTGTCTAGCCCATGATTTTGACTGCGCCAACCCATTTTTAAGGCCGCATTCTCTTCAGGTAACTTTTTATGCTTATTACATACTCCGTATTTTTATATGAATCAATTAGATTAGTTCTATCCAATATAGATCAGGTCCATCTAAATCAGATTAGAAAAGTATTGAAAAATAAGTAATGTAACAACAACAATAGAAATAATAATCAGATCTAAGTGCATATGATGTGATTTAATTCTAATAAAAAGGTGAAACATAAATTTAATTTACATTTTTCTCGTGTGAGCCTGAACTTCAATTAAAATTGACTTAAAATATAATGGAAGGAGCGTTTGTGCAAGCATTTTTTCACTAGAGGGGGGTACCATACAAGGGGGTCTTGTACAATTATCTTTTTCATATAATTACAAACAATGTATAGTAATTAACACTCCGGCGTATCTCGTAATTGTACATTTTTGGACTTTGCGTGACACTAACATTGGTTCTATAAAAAACTTTTGTTTTCTTGAAGAATTATACAATGGTGGTTTTTTATGTTAATTTTACAAAATTAGTTTACACTATTAGAAAAATTAGACATCATTAAAATTTTATTCAAAAACTATTTGTGATAGAAAAGGTTGTAGAAAACGTTGTTCCCCTAGAAGTCCGCTCAGTAATATTGATACTTCGTTTGAAAGTAGTACCAAGTATTTTTTTTCAGTGTTACCATTTTAAATAAAATTATAAAATTGTAAGGATTTTGATTATTTTTGAAAACCCTATTCGGCTCCCGATTTTGGGCTCGTTCCGTTCAACTTATTTTTTCTACTTTTTCCTTATTCTTATTAAAATTAGATTAGATTAGACCAGATCAGATCAGATTAGATCTAATCAAGAATTATGTTAAAGAGTATCCCACATCGGAAAAGTGTGAGAAAAATAATCGGTATATAAGCTCTTGAGTTGAACTAACTAATCGATTGAATTCAATCTTTTAATGTGATTCAACCCAAATGTCTTATTGCCCAATCCAAGTGTCCATACCTATCCTAAATTCTATCATGGTATCAGAGCAGGTTTTGGCCCACCTCATTTGTCAAGGTGCCCGTCTAGACGTTCGTTCCTAGCGGCCCGTTAGTTTTTAGCCCAGTTGTCCGTATGGAGTATGTACCCAACGGGCTGTGGCCTGTTTAACACGATTGCTCGTCTGGAAGTCCACACCCAGCGGCTCGTGGTCCTTTAGGTGTTGGCGCTCAAAAAAATCAAGGGAATGAGAGTTCATTTGCAAGCGGTCAACCGGTTAGATTCAAAAAGGTCCGGTTGTCCACTTGAGGGTAGTGTTAAAGAGTATCCCACATCGGAAAAGTGTGAGGAAAATAATCGGTATATAAGCTTTTGAGTTGAACTAACTAATCGAATGGATTCAATCTTTTAATGTGGTTCAACCCAAGTATTTTATTGCTCAATCCAGCTGTCCATACTCATCCTAAATTCTATCAAATTATTATTATTAGGAATTATTATTATTATCATCATTATCATTATTACTCCATACTTTTTAAATTCCATACTTTTTACTTGTTTCACTTGAAACGATTCTTTCAAAAAATAAATTTAATTTCTCTTGAAAAAAATATAAGAAGAAAGAAAATGTAATTTTTGTGCAATTATAATTTATGTAGAGAAAAATAAAATGATATGAAGCACAATTTTTTTCTTAAAAATGAAAAAGAATAAACTTTATAAACAAGTTAAATAGACAACTGAGAAAGTAATTCTTAATTAATAGACGTCGGAAAAATTATTTTTAAAATACATTGACAATGTCAATCTAAGTCTACTTTTAAAATATATTTGTATTGCTACCTGTAATTTGAGTTTGTAAAGTTATCATATTATAAAATATGAATGAAAAAATATTATTACATTATATAATTACATTATAATTGAATGATTATTCTAATAAATGAATTAACGAAATTTATTTCATTAAAAATGATTATAAAATAAAAAATGTTGATTATATTATAATATGAATTATCTTTACAATTTTCAAAAGTTATTATAAAGTCATATCAAATTATATCATGTTAGAACTAAAATAAAAAAGTTGAAAAGGCCTTAATTGTCAGGAGAAAGAGTGTCATCCCCGAATCTCTTTCATCGCGAACTGAAGCCTCTTCCAGTGTCATCCCCGATTCCATCGATTCTTCTCATCATCTTCTCCAGACGGCTCTCTCTCATCCGCCATGGGTATGTTTTCCTTTATGGGTTAAATCACTTTACCTTTAATTCTTTACCAGTGAAGTATATTGTTTTTCTTTAAGTACTCTTTCAATTGTCGAGATAATTAGCAGTTTTTTAATCATGATTTCGTTAACGGTGGATTATTTATTTTACTTTAACTCTTTTAGTGACAAGTTTTTAATATTTCAACATGTTGTTTTTGTGCTTGTTATCTTTGTTGGTTTCTTGGCTTTGAAGATTGAAGGGTATTTTTTTCTTATGTAACCTTCGTTATGTGAGTTTATGTGCTACCTTTAAAAATAATATTGTTTTGGTAATGATATTTCATCATATATATATATATATATATCTTTGGTGAATGAAGATATATATAATGTTAATAACTTCATTACTAATTGTGATTTGTCGACTAGTCCACTAGTCTCCAATAAACCTTCTCGACTCAACTTGTCGCCCGATAACTATGGAAGAGACTACAATTTTCTATTTTGCTTATTGGCTATTCTTTAGTGCTATTCTTTGTAGATTTGATATTTTCAGAATTTAAGTTTATAATTTGTAGCTTAAGTTTTCTGGATGGAAGCATCACTCTATGTGCTATTATATTTTCTATCCACACAAAAGGATTCTGCAGTGTGCTTGCATTTGTTTGTTATAGAAGTTGAAAAGGAGCCACAAGTGAACTCAAGACCAATCTATATTGAGCCCAAAGGCTCTATAGAAGGTCCGCAATTGAATATTTGTTTTTTTGTTAACAGATTATTCAGATATGTGTTTTTAAATTGTGTTAAAAAAGCAAAATGTTGTCTGGTTTATGTTTCTGGGGGTGGACGTGGGGGGTTATGGGGATATTGCATACTATTTGAATGAAGTTACAATTATTCTATACACATCTTTCCATAAATAGCTTTTTATGTATGTCTTGTGTGATATGGGTTTAGTTTGCTGGGTAAGCTATATTAGTTACTCAAATATCTCATCTTATTTTTATTTGGAGCTATTTGTTAAGCTCGCCCCTCACATGAGCTACGAGAGGTTATCTTGATTAAATTATTATTCTATGTTCGGCATAAGCTGTAATGCTTATGTTATTTCATTCATTATAAAGATTTCACACAATGTTTTGCGCCCAGTTTCCTCTGTTTTGTTTTTTGAATCATACTCCGACGAATTAATTTCAACTGAGTGTGAAAGTTAGTACAGTGTTGTTCCAACATCCTTTAAATGCACATTGATATGGTCTAGCACTGAATATTTACCTTTTCTTGACAATAAATTTTATGTTTTCATCCCATTTTTGTATTTCTTACAGAACAAGAAAAGAAAGCATCAGCTCAAGATGATGAAACCGTAATCCCCAAAAAGCGTCCCCTGAATGTCGTTTTCATAGGGCATGTTGGTATGTGATTGTTTTCTCTCTTTGTGTGTGCATGTATGTGTGTTGGAAATTATGTGGATGCTCTACTTAACAATTATTGATGTTACTCTTTTCTAAATGAACATCTGTCGGTTACATGGAAAAAGTGATCCCGCCAAATGCACAAGCATTTGCAGATAGTTTTGCAATGTAGGTTGCAAACTACAACTTGGATTTGGAATCTTTACATAATTTCTTAACTTGTGATGCACTTTTTTTTACCTTTCCTCTTTCTTTCATGCCTTTAGATGCCGGAAAATCAACCATTGGAGGACAGATATTGTTCCTTAGTGGACAAGTAGATGATCGTACAATCCAGAAGTATGAGAAGGAAGCAAAGGATAAAAGTAGAGAGAGCTGGTTAGTCTTTCTTGCATGTTTCAATTACTTGGCTAAATTGTTGTGTCTCTTAGCAATCATTTAATGTAGTGAACAGTCTTGGAAAGTTTTGTTTGGCTTAATTTAGCAATCCTTTTATGATTGCTTAGAATATTGACCTGCATTTCTTTTTTTGATCATATTAGGTATATGGCATATATTATGGACACAAATGAAGAAGAGAGGGATAAGGTACTCTCATGTTTATTAGTAACTCCATAATAAAAAAAATCATGTTCAATTTTACGTTTTAGCTCATGGTTTTGGTGCTATAGTTTCATTATCATCATCATTATTGAACTCCTTAATCCCAACTATGTTGGGGCTGGTGGCATGAAATTTAAAATCAATTAATTATTTAAAATGAGTTAATATGGAGTAATATAAATTCATGCAAAAAGAAATTAGTTGCAAATATTCACGTAAATATTGTTGCTGCTCATTATCTTCTTTGGAAGGAACAATGAAATGAAATTCCAAAATGAAACATAGAATAATAGAACATAACCTTCTATTTCTTTACGTTGTTTGCTAAAGATAATTTCTTGAGGGGGGATATCTCCTTATTGGTGATTGTAATTTGATGTGTAGGGGATTACTGTTGAAGTTGGAAGAGCGCGCTTTGAAACAGAAACTACAAGATTTACTATTTTGGATGCTCCGGTAAACTCCCCAAGCAATGGCTTATGTTTTTTTGGGTTTTACTTTCTTTTAAAATGCTATTTATGTGTTGGAGATTTGTTAGTTTCAAAGATTCACAAGTTGCTCTGTTACATTTGCATTCACTAGCTGTTTCAAATTCATTTTGGCCCTTGCTTCACATGGCCTGCTATTTCTAATTCCATTTTCTCCAGGGGCACAAGAGTTATGTACCCAATATGATTAGTGGAGCTTCTCAAGCTGATATAGGTGTGCTGGTAAGGCTTATTGATGCCATGAAACTAGAGTTCAGTATGAATGGATTGTCTCTATTTTGGATGAATTTACTTTTTAAAATATGAAAAAAACCATTTGTTTTGGGGAGATTGGGGATCCACGGACTCCTTCCATTCCGGCATCATGTCGGAGCCAAGCTCCGGTGATAGGTTCTGGGAAGGATATGGTTGGAATCATGTGAACATTCATCTTTTGACAACCTTTGAGTTCCATAGTTTAGCTATCACAGTTTGCAAAAAGATGTTGTTAATACTTAAAAGTTAGGAAAAATGAATATTTTTTATAAACTTTGGACTAATTTTTCTATAGTTAAACTGCGGAATTTGGTGTTGGTTCAAGCACGGGAGTTGTAGAGGGTGTTGAGTTGAATCCAACCATGTTTGACCTGGCGCCTTTTACCAGACCTCCTCTCTAGCACGACGCCAGAAAGTGTGGAGTCATTTGATCGTTGTTCTGAACAATTACTTTGCCTTGTAATTTAGGTGATATCTGCGAGGAAGGGCGAGTTTGAAACTGGATTTGAAAAAGGTGGACAAACAAGCGAGCATGTTCTACTTGCAAAGACTCTAGGGGTTACAAAGCTCCTCATTGCTGTGAATAAAATGGATGAACCTACTGTGAACTGGTCAAAAGAAAGGTGCTTCTTTGAATGGTGTTTCTCAGTGATTGTTTTTCAGTTCTTTTATTTTTTTCCATTTTCATACTGGAATTATATCTTTTCAGGTATGATAAAATCATGGAGAAAATGACACCATTTCTGAATTCGTCTGGATATAAGAAGAAGGGTTAGCATTTAATAGATCTTTTATCTTCACTTATGTAATCCAGTGCTGTAATGGAAGATAAAATATTATTGTGGCTTTTCCAAACCATCCAAACAAAACTGTTATATATCATCCCGCCCCATAAACACCATAAAGAACCCTTATCAACAATGGTACAGCATTTTAATTTAAGAAGGTAAATCTATTATAAATACTCCAATATACCTATATCTTTAATTCTAATTGTTGTCTTAACTACATTTAACATACTCAACCTATTTATGATGCTTTTTACGTAGTATTATAATAATAAAACATTAAATATGATGTAATCCAGCCTCTTTTGTTCAGGTAGTACTATTTTATTGGGACAAAGTAACCTACAGGAACATTATCCTTTATATGGGAATGAGAAGTATAAAACCGTACAAATAATTAAAGAAATGTGAAGCTTAATAAATTTCAATCTTCATAATAATCTACACAGATATGAACTGTCTAATAATCATCTTCTATGTCATCATTCATCAAGTCAATACTATCCCTCTTCTTCTAACTTAAATGACGTCTCTTCAATGGATCTTTGTAATTCTCTTTAGATTTCAATTCATCATCTTTTTGACACACTTATGTTCTCATCTTTAAGGTTGAGGTCGCAGCCTTGTAGGTGGACCTTTTACTTTTGAAAGGTAAAAGTTTTGGCAGTTGTTACACCAAACAACAATAGTTTCTTTCTATGCCAGCCCTCTCTGATATGCGCTTCGGCTCGTATTAGAACCCTTTTCTAGATTTCCATATGAAATTGAGTATTTGCTACTTCGGATTCAGATTCTTTTTCGGACTGATGCAAGGGTTGTCTCATTAAGTATTATTAAAACTTAAAAGTGCATAACTCACACATATTGTTTTGTTTTACTAAGATGTTACTCGTTTTGATATCATTAACATCATTAACAACAATAGCCACACTTTTACTAAATATCCCTCTTTTGATCGTTTTGTAATTCATTAAGCCCAATGTTGTAATGTTGACATACTTTCAGTCCATGTTCTTTTGAACATACTCTGACTTCTTTATAAGTCTCCCACACTTAAAGGCTGCAGTCTCTATACCAGTCAAATATTTCCAATGTCCAGAATTGGATAAAATCCTTTCGCGCAAAGATTTTCTGTTGTGATTAATTTGTTTCATACTCTTATGTATTGATTTTAGCGTAAATAACGAAACTAGATTCGCTTAGAATCATCATTGCAAAATTTATCAATTCAATTTCTACTCTAAAGTTTTTTTTTTCTAAAATTTATAGATGTTCAATTTCTTCCCATTTCTGGGCTTTTGGGTTCAAATCTGAAAACTCGAGTAGATAAGAGTGTTTGTCCGTGGTGGAATGGCCCGTGTCTATTTGAAGCTCTTGATGCGGTTGAAGTCCCACCTCGTGATCCGAACGGTCCTTTCAGGTAATAGTTCTTCCCCCCTATTTGGCCACTTACCAACTTTCATATCTCCTGTTAGAAATTTTCCAGTAGTCTTTGTGGTTACTCGTGCATTTTGTGTTTGTTTTGGCCACTGTCAGATTTCCAATAGAAGTGTAGAATGCTTTTCAGCAGTTTGTTGTTTAGCTAATTTGGATATAGTCTTGTAGCGTTTGCCAGACCCCACTTGTGGCTCGTGGGACTCGTTGGGAAATTGATTAGATATTCAATAAAAAGAAAAATAAAGAAGAAAAAAAAAGACAAATGGTAAACAAAGGCAGTGACACATTGCCACTTTGGGTTTCATTCTTTACGGCTAAGTTTTTAGCTAAAGTCAAAAGATGGATTTGCAATGATCTTTTGGGGATTTTGCATGCATAGGAAATCACAAGGAAATTGACAATCACTCTTGACCTCTTTGGTATGTGTGATTGTGTTTGGCTATTTAATGGTCATGAAGTACGCATGGAGTGTGTGTAGTTTATCACTCACCTAGAGAGAAATGAAACCAAGAAGGTTCTACACAAGAATACCACCGGGAATATCCAAGGAGTCTTGGTGTGTTTGGGTGAGTGTGACAGTCTGTTTATGAGTGTCTGGAATTTAGCCTTGCAAGCAGGGGGAGACTTTTTTGTATATTGTCCTGAAATAGTGGAAATATAATTTTTCTCTCATATATCCTTCTTGTGTGATTCTCTCTTTTTTCTGGCGTTCACAATATTTTCGGTGTCTTACGCACTTAAAACTCCAACAGGATCTTACTGTGTTGTATGTCGCATGTTTCCTTTTGCTGTACAAACTTTGCATATCTTGTATGGTTTTAAGGATCTCTACTAACTCTTTGTGTATTTATTTGTAGAATGCCTATAATTGATAAATTTAAAGATATGGGAACAGTTGTTATGGGTAAAGTTGAATCTGGTACTGTACGTGAGGGTGACAGTCTGTTGGTGATGCCCAATAAGGTGCTTTTCATGAACATATAATTATCTTAGAAGAGTGAATATATTAATCTCATTTTGTGGTACCATCTCAGAGTTTTCATTTCTTTTGCTTCTTAAGGTTCCTGTTAAGGTTCTTGCCATATTCATTGATGAAGATAAAGTGCGAGAAGCGGGGCCTGGGGAGAACTTACGAGTCCGAGTATCTGGGATTGAGGAAGATGATATCTTATCCGGCTTTGTTTTATGCAGTGTTGGTAAATACCATTCAATTATTTTCTTTGCTTAGTCTACTTTTTCAATTTTCAAAGCTGTATGTGTGGACAGGGTTTGCTCAATTTGTACAATGTTAAGCTTATATGGATGGGGTTCATCAAGTTATCATTATGTTTTTCTATACCTATATAATCCTGTGTTGATTTTTACTGAAATGGATCTGTGTCTTGGTGCAGTAAGGCCAGTCCCTGCTGTTACTGAGTTTGTTGCGCACTTGTCAATCAAGGAGTTGCTGGATAATGTATGAACTGAACATTACCTTGGCATTTTTATTCTCTTGTTTTCTTGTTAGTAACTAGGTTAATTGGGTAGATATATTTGCTCTGTTTTGGTTTTCAGGCAATTTTTACCGCTGGTTACAAGGCTGTGTTGCACATTCACTCGGTTGTTGAGGAATGTGAAATCGTAGATTTAATAAAAGAAATTGATCCAAAAACAAAGGAACCTAAGAAAAGGAAACCACTCTTTGTTAAGAACGGTGCTTTTGTTGTATGTCGCATTCAGGTTGGCTTCTTAACAGCACGACTTCTGCTCTGTGGTCTTCTTATATTGTGCAAAAACGTGAATGTGAAGTAGCTTAATATAACTTCTTGGTGATGTGTCATTGAAGATTTATTGCAATCTAATTTTGCCGAAGCAGTTTTTCTTAAATTTCATCCCCTTTTTGCCTTTTCATTCCCTCTTCTAAATTGTTTGTTCATTTTGTTATACAGTATTAATTTTTTTTTGCTTTTACCTCTTCCCAGGTGAATAATATGATATGCATTGAGAAGTTCAATGATTTTTCCCAGCTCGGAAGATTCACTCTTCGAACAGAGGGTTTGGAACTTATTCTTTTTTTGTTCCCTATAATGTGTGTGTGTGTGTAAATAATACATCATGACTTTCTTCACCTTATTTTTTCTTGCAGGGAAAACTGTTGCTGTGGGCAAAGTCACTGATCTTCCCACCGTAGGCGAAAATGCATAAAAAATCTTGTGCTCTCATTCATGTATGACTTATTACTTTTAACTGCTTTTGAATATTTTTGCTGTTTGCCTAATGGAGGGAAACAATACGACTAATTTTGTGAGTAAAAGACTCGTTTCATTCTATGTCAGTTGTGGTAGAAAAAGGGGTTACGTTGCAGACGTGACAAAGATGCAACACAACCATAATCGCACACCAGTTTTGTGTACCGTGATTATCCGTGCTTTGATATGAGGATAGAGGTGTTTGTGGAGCATGCTGAACTCATAAACTATTTAATTTTTGCCATTCACATTGGAGTGTACACTTGGGAATGATGTAATACACTTCTTTTAAATGTTGTTATTCAATAGGAAATCATATGAACATTTTAGTTTCTATCGATCTGTAGTCAGAGTGACTATGCTTTGGGCGGTTGAAAAACCTTGCATATGTCAAGTTCATGTGACATAAATGAGGATTTTGCGGTGGATGTATGGGCAAACGAGGTTAGATAGATTACTTCTACTTTGTTTGCACTTTGTATCACCTTTGTTGGTTTTTGCTAACTCTGCTTTGAGTTAGGTGTCTTAGACACAGTTTCTCTACTTTCAAGTAAGAAAAGCGTGTGTAAACACCTTTTTCGTGCCTTATTTTTAGTGGGGTTTTATTAGTTTTGTTATTTAAAACATTAAAAAAAAACTTGTTCGGATAGTTTGACTTAGAGATGAACAAAAAGACTAGATTTTTCGGATTGAACTGATTTCTTGAAAAACTGATATTATTTAGGATAGGATCATTTTCAAAATCAGTACAAACTAATTTGATTCTTATTTTTGAACATGTTAATTTTTTTTAACACAATAATAATCTAGTGGATCCCACAAAAGTATTGTTTGGGGAAGATGTGTTCGCAGATTATACCCCACTTGAAGGTAGAGAGGTTATTTCCAAAGTGACATCAAGCTAAAAAACTACAATTAATCACGTACGTAGCTTTACCTCTATGTTTAAAAAATAGAGTGACTATTTTTCGATGATTCATGAGGAGAGTCAAAAGTTGTACTGACTAATTACTACTTCCCTATTTAAACAGAGTACATAAGTTTAATGATCTATTTTACTTTATTTCATCATACCCTAGATAAAAAAATTACAAATCTTTGACTCCAGTAGATATATTAGAAATTATTTTGTTCTTTAAAAATATATATAAAATAAAAAGTCTTACTTTTGATCATTTAATTAATGTATTTTGTTGATTTACAATACTACCTTCACCTCAAATTAGATTTGATGTTTACTATTCATAAGGTTAAATCTTATTCATTTTCTTTTCCTTTTTTTGTTATGAATTTGATAAAATAATATAGTTATGTCATATCTTCGTAGATTTTTTTATAGTTCTTTAATATGTAAAGTTTGTTTTCTAATTCAATTCGAATTATCTAATACTCTCTCGGTTCCTGAGTATTTGTCCACATTTGATTTTTTTGGTCAAAATTGGTAAATTTTGACCTCAAATTAAATAAAAATGATATTAGATATTGATACAAAAAATAGTTTTATTATATTTATTATACCAAATATTTTTCAAAATATTATTTTATCTAATTAATATACAATATAGTTATATGTCAAAGGTGAAATACAGTTGATCGAAAAAGTTAAAACTGGACAAAAATACTCATGACAGAAGTAGTAGATTGTATTGAAAAATATTTCAGGAACACATTATACATCAACACAAGTGGTTTAAACTGGGACAGAGCGAGTAATTATCTATGCAACATGAATATTTTTTTATCTAGAGTACAAGTTGCTTAGAATTATCAAAGTAAATAAATTTTAATTTGTATGTTTTATACATTTGAGATTTTTTTGCTATGTTTTTAAATTTATAAAAAATAATATGGAGTAGGATTTTCAATATTGATAGGATAAGCATATTTATATCAAAATTAAATCTTAAAGTATAAATGTAACTTCCTCTTAAATATATCAATTATTTAATATATATTTTTTGAAGTCATTATTTAATATATTTAATACTATGTATTATATATTATAATTATGGTTGTTACCTATTATAGTTAGAATTATTATTATATAAAACTACCTTATATAAATTAGTCATTAATGTGGAGGATTTTTTAATATATTTCTCCACCTATAAATACATACTTTGTATTCCTCTCTTATTCATTCCGCTTCTTCCGCCGCCGTCGCTGATAATTTATTCGGAGACGGTGGCCTCACTCCTACTTGTTACTTCAATAATGATCTGCCATACTCCTCCATTTGGCTCCGGATCCATCACGACCGCTTCCTGATTTTAGATCATATCATCACCTCAACCTACTTAGTCGGCAGATCTTCAGTCAACATGCATCTCTGACAGTACCTCATTCCTTGTGTTTCTTCTCTAACCCAGTCGTGCACGACTCCAGCGCACGTCAATCTTCTCCCTTCTTCGACGTCAGTGACATGAGTCTGTCCGCAGCGGCTCTTCTCCCATCCTCCTCGAAGCATGCACATTTCTTTCCCAACAATCTTTCTTCTTCTCTTATGGTCGGGATGCATTCAAGCTGCTCTAGTCAAAAATATGTCTCTAGTTTCTAATCACGACTTTGGTCATCATTCAATTTAAAGTGGGCATTCAATCCTCTTCATCGTTCAGAACATTGGGAGCATGTTAAATATATCAATTATTTAATATATTTAATATTATATATTATAATTATGATTGTTACCTATTATAGTTAGAGTTATTATTATATAATATTACCTTATACTCCGTATAAATTAGTCATTAATGTGGAGGATTCTAAAATATATTTCTTTACCTATAAATACATACTTTGTATTCCTCTCTTATTCATTCAATCAATAAAGTGTTCTTTATTATTTTTACACTTCCTTCGTTTGGAAATGTTTTTTGTATTTGACTTTTTACAATCTCTAAAGTCTAATGTAATAATTTGACAATTATTATATAATTATATATATTTACACAAATATATTTTCTAAAAATTTAACATTTCAAAATTACGATTTAAAAGGAAAGTATTGATATTAATTATACAAAAATACAATGTATTCTTTCTTCAAATCGAGGTTAAAGTACGAAATGTATAATATATATATATATCAAAATATAATGTACTCTTTTTGATACTGTATAAAATATATCGATTCAGTATGATAATTTATGTGACACTGATATTGATCTCGAAATATATGTTTAGTATGATTCATGATGGTTAAATATCAATTTTGGTACTAATTAGAATAAATACATACATACCTAGTTTACATTTAAAAATAAAAAAAACCTTTTAAAAAAATAAAAAGTATATTTTAATAAAAACCCATAAAAAATGAATAACTAAATACAAGAAATGACTATGAAACTTAATTTATTTTTCACAAACTAAAGAATAAATGTTAATAAAATATTTCAAATGCTTGTTAATATTTTTATATTTATCTATAAAATTTAAAAATTGAATAAAAATATAATTTACACATAATAAAATTTGCACCTACTTTTCAAAATAAATTATCATGAAATGACAAATAATAAAAAGATTTTTATTTTTATAATTTATTACTGTAGTATATATGTTCGATTCGGGATTTATACCTTTCTCAAATATCGTACCGATCATCGGTTCAATTCTTTTGAAGTATATTTTTAATTTTTTAGCTTGGTATTTTTTGATTTGGTATTTTCATTTTTTTTTTGTGGGAAATTTCAAGAATCTATTGAAGACTTGTTGGGGCTCCATGTTACTAACCCGTGTTTGTGGCAAACAAGATATGTGTTGGTCTCATCAGATCATTTCAGGAAGCAGTTTTGGACTCTGCATTGACATCAATTTTCCCAAATCAAGAAATCCCAACTCTCCAATCGCTCAATTCCCGGCGTCTCTCTCCACTGGATTTGCTCTCTCAGTTCATATATGTACGGAATAAGCCATGTACCACACCTGTGTAAGCTCAACTCTCTCCTTAAAATGTAAAGGATGTGTATGTTTTTCTTCAAACGACAATCCCTACTGTTGTACCATAGACAGATTTAACAAATACCCATTGTTCGATTCATCTTCATCATGGTGCTGTTGTTCAAATTCCATGTATAGAGTCCCTCTAGGCACTTGTTATGTCTATGGTTTGAGTCAATCCTCTCTGATTCAGTGGTCACCTTGTAAAAGAGTTTACTTGACCAGCTTAGATAGGTGTAATACGGATTTCCCGGTTTCGGGCATTGCAAGAAAGTGCTGTTATGATAAACCTTCTTGCTATTTGAATGAGAGGCGAGGGAAAGGGAGATTCGGGTCTCCTGGATTTAAGGAGAATAGTGAGAGGGGTAGTTTCTGTGATGTTGGTGAGGCCGAGGTTTTGCTCGGATTGCTTAGCGAGAGTGTCGATGAGGAATTTGATGATATGAAGAAGAGAAGGGGAAGTTCTTGGAAGAAGAGAGTGTTGGAGATTAAAAGGAGTGGCATTGAGAGTGATCACATACATAAGAAAGGAGATAAATTGGGTGCAGTTAGAAGGACAAAGTTGGAAGCTGAGCTGGAGGAGGATAGTAAGATGAGAAAAGAACATAGGAGGGGAGATGGGGAAGATGTTTTACTAGGGGGAGGAGTGGAGAAGAAGTGGAGAGCTGCTAGGGAGGTCATGGGGGGTAAAAATCTGGTTAGGCGAAGAGAAGAGGATAAAGAGGTTTTTTTGAGCAGCGAGAGGAAAAAGGAAATTTGTGTACCGAGACAAGAGAAGGAGCAGGTGGTAAGAAAGAGTTACACTGAAAGGGAGATGAATGGAACAGGGGAAGATTTTTCGGTAGTGGATCACGGGAACAAAGTGAGACGAGAGGGGTCCACCTGTTCTTCATACTACTCGGCTTCTTCGAGAGGTGATATAGAAAGCGATAATGAGGTGCAGATTGAGAAAGGGCAAAATCACACCAAATTATCAAGGAGAAATGGGGAATTTTCTCGTTATGGTGAGGTAGGGCAACATGTTAGGACGTTTGAGGATCACTCCGAGGGACAAGGATCGATTTCGAGAAAGGAAGACGCTTCTGTGGGACCCTATGTAGGATCTCATGACATAGATCACAATCTTCAGCGAAAGAAATCCGAGAAGAGGCTCGGTGGCACTTCAATTGAGGAGAATGAGTTTAGGAAGAAGGAATCATCACATAAGCAATCGAGGGTTTCGGGTGTTGATGAGATTAAGCTTGGAAAAGAACGTAGTACTTCTAAGGCTTGCGATGATAAAAAATGGGAGTCCTCCTCGGCGGAACAAGTAACACAACAGTCTGAGATCCGGATGAAGCATGAGAAATTTTTAGGTGAACCACAAATTCAAGAAGTTGCTGTTAGAGGAAGTTTTGGTAAAGGAGAGTCTAACATTAGAAAAAAGCACGCCGAAGCTTCTTCATATATCACTGAGGAGAAACAAAAGCAAGCTAGAGAGGTCACTGGTCAAGTGACTAAAGATGAACATAGAACTTACATTTCTGAGAGGCAATCATACCCGGAGTTGATAGGTCAGGAAGAGTATAAGACAAACCTTCATTCGTCATCTTCAGAATCCAGAGGGAAATCTTCCCAAACAAGTGCAGGAGGATGTACAAGGATTATGGAACTTCCAAAGCTTTCTGGTCAACCTACCAGTTCAATGCATCCAGAGCATCCATTGATGATGGGTTGTGAAAATGGAAACAGCGTGAACACACAAAAATCTCAGGCATATTCATCTTCTCAAGTGTCGAGTTCTTCGAAACTTGAATCAATGAGTGGTTTTGCAGCACAAAGACTTTCTTCTGAAACTGCACAAAGTGGTCTGACCGTACCAACGGAACATTCCAAAGATAGGCCATACCAAATGCAAGAAGAAAGTCAAGAAACACAAGGTGTGGTCATAAGGAATGAAAAAGTAAGGCATGAGGTTTCCAGTTCTGAAATTCGTACGGAAACGGAGTTGATTCTTGAGGGCGAGCAGCAAAACCCGAAAGTTTTGAGCCAGATCGAACTAGGAGAATCCCAATTGAAAGAAAATGTTTCCACAACTTGTTTGGATGAAATGTGGGTAGACCAATCTATTCAAGAAACATCAAAAACGGAAATCAAGAGATCAGGACAGCCCCTATGGCATATTATCAGAGATATAGTTAGACTCCGCTGGATTTCAAGTTCAGGGTCAGGAGGACTGTGCCCATCACATCAATCCACTACAAGTAGTGAAGCTTGGATTGCTGGGGAGAAATTAAAGCATGACAACAGATCACAATATGAACATTCATCTGACAAGCTTAGAATAGAAGATGTTCAACTTCAGGGAGAAGCATCCAATTCGTCCCATTCCGTTTCGCCAACCAGAATTACTAATTTGGTGTCCAACGAAGAAAAGTTGCAAAAGACTGCCGAAAGCAGAGAGCTAATAGTTCCTTCATCAGCTTCAAGTGAAATTTCATTTCCTGAGGTTAAAGATCTGGAGGTGAGACAGAGAAGAAGGTTTCAGAGGGTGAATCAAGTTATGAAAGACAGATTTGATGAGTGGGAAGAAGCATACAAGCTGGAAACTGAACAGCGCAAAGCTGATGAAATGTTTATGAGGGAAGCTTTGCTTGAAGCCAAAAAAGCTGCCTGCAACTGGGAGGTCCCTGTTGGGGCCGTTCTTGTAAAGGGTGGAAAGATCATTTCTCGTGGATGCAACCTGTGAGTTTTTTTCCCTTTTAACTCTTTGTTCTCAAATAACTGTCCACTAAGGGTAAAAAAATGTGTTTTTAGAGGAGAGAATTAATTTTATCACGCATTGACACTAATATCCCCATTGGTTTCCTTTGCATTGGGAGTAACAAGAAAAGGTTAAACAAATATAAGAGGGGAGAAAAGTCATTTTACTATGTTTTTATGTCATAATAATAAATAATAACCCATGTATAACTATGTTGCAGAGTAGAGGAATTGCGTGATTCCACTGCGCATGCAGAAATGATTTGCATACGGGAGGCTTCAAATATCCTTAGGTCTTGGAGACTTTCGGTAAATCCCATGCTTGACTTGTTTAAAAACATTGAATGTTTAGTTAAATCTCCCTGTAGAACATTGAACTCCATTTCTTTATTTCCTTTTTTTTTAAAATGTGTTTTTCAATCTCATGTGATTCTGAACTGTATAGGAAACCACACTTTATGTTACACTTGAACCATGTCCAATGTGTGCTGGAGCAATACTCCAAGCTAGGATTGATACGCTTGTTTGGGGAGCTCCGAATAAGCTTCTGGGTGCTGATGGAAGCTGGATTAGGTATAAGCTCTTTATACATGCATTCTGCAGCTTATTTCAAACAAGCCATGTTTGTTAGAGAGCTTATATCAGAAGCTTGTCCTTGATTGATTCACAACTTTTAGCAGATTCATAACACATAGATCACTTGATAAGCTCAAAAGCTTATATTTCAAGAGTTTCTTTTAGCTGTGATATACTCCTTCCTTCTCCAAATCAATTTTATAAAACCTTTTCTTAACTCAGTTGAGTGCAAATTTGACAGGCTTTTTCCTGATGGAGATGGCCAGCAATCAACGGATAAACCGCTCGCTCCCGTCCACCCTTTCCACCCGAAAATGAACGTGAGGCGAGGGGTATTAGCGTCAGAGTGTGCAGAATCCATGCAACAGTTCTTTCAACTTCGCCGGAAGAAGGAAAAGAAGCCTGATGAGCCTCCTCCGCCGCGCCTTCCCATTTCCACCCATCCAAACAGGTTCCTAGCTAAGATTCATGATGCCTTCCATCTTATGTTCTGTTTGTAATCATAATTAATCATAATAATTCTATGCTCTAATTTTCTAATAATTTGATAAGCTTTTAACAATTCTGATTTCTAAGTGTGCTAGTTTCAAACAAACACTCCTTCCCCTCTATTTTTAATTGACCATTATGACTTTGTTTATATATTATGGTGCATTAAAAAATCCATATTCATTTACCTCTTGGTGTATCACAAAACTCATAATGGTTAGTTTATGCTTCAAGAAGATAGATACATCCTCTATCTTAGAGTATTCGCCTAGTTTGAAATATTTGGAGTCAAATGGGATTTGATGAACTTCAACAATCAATTACATAAAAACTACATTGCATATTTTCTAAATTAATGAAATAACTTCTTGCTAGTTTTCAGCAACATAAATCTAATGAAATCGTACTGATATGCAATGCAATTTTTATTTAACTGGTAGATCAAAGTTTGTCCAGTTTGATTTGAAAAAGCCGACATCGACTAATATCCTTGGACGAAGGTAGTATTTAACTACGAACTTTTGACTTTGTTTACATTTCGACAGAAAAATATTACAAGAATATACAATCAATTCTTGTATACCGGCTATCACGTGTTACGATACTCAACCAATGTTATTTTCAATCCATTTTATTTAAATATTAGTGTAAAACTAAAAAATAAAATTTACACCGTATATTTATAAATTTCAAACTTTATCAAAAGATCTATACAAAAAGGTAGCATGAGTACATGACTATTATTTTATCAAATGATAGTTGAAAATGGATGGGGAAAGACGATTAACTCGACCTGTCAATTAGGTACAGAGTATTATAATTTTTTAGCAGTTCCGTTTTACAATTTATATTTCGATCTATTCTAATTCAGTTATTGCTAAATTCACTTCTCTTTTTGCTAAATTTATCCTATTTATGAAAACTTTTCAATTTTACTCTTAAGTTAATCTAAATCTTGTATTTCCTTATTTTTACACTTTAAGGGTAAATTTGTTCATTTGAAATTTGTACAAAATAGTATTCCCTCCATCCCAAATTCAAACTTCATTAATTTTCTTTTTCTATTTCTGATAGTCATTTGATAAAATAATATAGTCATGTCACTGCTAGTTGTATAAATCTTTTAATCTAGTTTTTATGTAATTTTTATTTTTTAGTTCTACACCATTTTTCATATAAAATGATTTGAAAATAATTTTAGTTAAACATTATATTAAAAACTAAAACATCAATTTAAATTGGGACGTAGGGAGTTCTAAAACATATAAAGTATGCCTTGTCCTAAATAAGATCTAAAATTTTTTATTCTCTAAATAGTGCGGAGTAGTTAAATGTAGTCCCTAAACGCTTATATTGGAGAATAATTATGGCGGTATGGGCGGGAGAACAAAAGGTCAGTTCTAAAATGCAAGCTATAGTTACGGGTGAGGGGTATTTATGTATCTTTAGATTAATATTACATAATTAATAATTAAATTAAGTACTATTAAGATATTTAAAATATTAAGTACAACAACAACCCAGTTGAATCCCACTACATTAGGATCTGGGGAGGGTGTGTGTACGCAGACATTGCCCCTACTCGGTAGTAGGGAGGCTGTTTCCAAGGGATATCTGGCTCCAACTGCACAAAAAATATGATAAGAATCACAGTATAACACACATAAAGCATCAAGTACAATGGAATGAAAGTCCTGCAAGCAATAGCAAAAATTTCCAACCAAACAAAACACACTACAAAAAACCTCTGAAGCACCGGGCCCCTATCCAGCTACTCTAATCCTAGTTCTCCAAATGTTCCTATCTAAAGTCATATCCTCAGTGTGAGAAGTCCTAAATCCTACCTAATCACCTCCTTCCAATACTTCCTAGGTCTACCTCTTCCCCTACTTCTCCCGACAACCGTAATCCTCTCGCATCTCCGTACAGGGGCATCAGCATTCCACCGTCTCACATGACCAAACCATCTCAACCTCGCTTCCCGCAGCTTATCTTCCACCGGCTCCATGCCTACATGACGACATGACGTCAGATAACTTCATTCGAAATCCTATCCGACCTTGTCTTCCCACACATCCATCGTAACATCCACATCTCCCCCGCATGCAGACGACGCACATGAGTCTTCTTAACTGCTCAACACTCTGCCCTATATAACATAGCAGGTCTGACTACGGACAGGTAGAATTTACCTTTTATCCTGGGCGAAATCTTTGGATCACACAACACCCCTGAAGCCAACCACCATTTGGCCCAAGCCACTCCAACATGATGTCCAACATCCCCGTCTAACTCCCCATCAGCTTGAATTACCGAGCCAAGATATCGAAACTTGTCTACCTTAGGCACTAGGTGAGAGTCAATCCTAACTTCCACTTCTGATTCCGTTTCCCGATCGCTGAAACGACATTCCATGTATTCAGTCTTGTTCCTACTTATTCTGAATCCTTTAGTCTCAAGGGTAAGGCGTCATAGTTTCAACTTATCGTTTAGTCTCTCACGCGTGTCGTCGATAAATACAATATCATCCGCAAAAAGCATGCACCATGGGACCCCTTCTCGAACACCTTGTGTCAAGACGTCCATCACCAAGGCGAACAAAAAAGGGCTAAGGGCAGACCCCTGGTGTAATCCCATCCCTACTGAGAATGACTCAGAGTCGCCCCTGGTGGTCCTTACCCTAGTCCTACCTCCATCGTACATATCCTTGATCGCGCGAGTGTACGCGATGGGAACTCCTCTCGACTCAAGGCACCTCCATAAAACCTCCCTTGGCACCCTATCGTATGCCTTCTCAAGATCAATAAACACCATATGAAGGTCCTTCTTCCTAGCCTTATACTCTTCCATTAACCTCCGCACGAGGTGAATAACCTCTGTAGTCAATCTGATAGGCATGAAACCAAACTGGTTCTCAGAAATCCATACCCCTTTCCGCACCCTATGCTCAATGACTCGCTCCCAAACCTTCATGGTGTGGCTAATCAGTTTGATGCCTCTGTAATTCTCGCAGCTCTGAATGTCACCATTGCCTTTAAACAGGGGGGCCAAGAGACTCTCCCTCCACTCATCAGGCATCCTAGCTGTCCGAAAGATAACATTGAATAGTTTGGTTAGCTAAACCCACCCACCACGACCCACATGCTTCCAAAACTTCACCGGAATCTCATCCGGTCCCAAAGCTCTCCCACTACGCATCCCGCGAATTGAAGAGCCCGAGCCACCTCTTCCAGGCAAATGCGCCGACAATACCCAAAGTCACGAGATGCCTCAGACTGCCCCAACTCATCAAGAACTAGTCTCTGGTCTCCTCCCGCATTTAAGAGTTCACNCTTGGCAGTCTCAACTAAAACTCTACCATCGCTGCCCTTCACGCATCTCATATGGTCCTAAAATATTAAGTACGAGTACTATATTATTAGGAAAATAGCTACTCCATGGTGAAAGTGTAAAACGTTGAAAACAAGACCAAAAATCTAAAGTTAGCAACCAAATTGTTTCTTCATTTCATTTTTCATTTCGATTTTCTCATAGTTTTTTTTTAATTTCGAAATTATAACAAGATGTTATCATTTTAGGGGATTTTTGTGTGTGGGTGAGTGATGATTATATCATTATATGATACTCCCTCCGTCCCCCATAGATCTTCTCAATAGCCTTTTTTCTTTGTTCACAATAGATCTTCTTATTCCATTTTTTAATAATTAAAATACCATAACTATCCCCACTTACTTTATTTATTACACCTCACCCACCTCATTTAATACACTCCACCCATATTTCATTAAGGGTATTATGGTAAACTTTCACCTTTTTTCAACTCTCCTTAAAAATCACCAAAAGTCAAAATGAGAACATCTTAGGGGGACGGAGGGAGTATAGAATATGATAAACTTGATTATGATTTGCCCACCATTTACCGAGACAACAACTTTCTTAGATGTGAAATTCGGGATTTTTTTTGAGGATTTACCCACAAGTGTGTGGAAATATTATATTAGGAGATGAGTTAGGGGTAGGAACCATCAATTTTACGAACGGAGCACTGGAAGTGTCCCAAAATGATAATGACACCGTTAGTGTCATCAAAAGCCGGTGTCACTAAAACACCACCAACTCCGATGTGGGTACGGTGGATCGTTGAGATTGTCGGTAGCCATCAAAGGAGTCCGTTGGAATGAAAGCACCACTTAATACTGTTAAGAATAATAAATGTATTAGAAAATATAATATTATTATTCATTATATTTTTTATTACATTACTTTCGTATTACTCCCTCCGTTCTCAAAAACACTTCCTCTTTTATTCTTTCCACTTCCAACAAAACACCCTCTTTCTATTAAAAAACCACTTTTACCCTTACTTTTTCATACTCTACCTATCACATCATACTTTTTCTCTAATAATCTATCCATCACATCTTACTTTTATCCATCACATCAGGTGCAAAATTGGAAATCAACTATAATTTAACACTTCCTTATTTTTGCCCCCAAATCAAATGGGAAGGGTTTTTTCAAACGGAGGGAGTATATTGTTATTATAATTCTTCTCTTACTTAGATTAGAAATCACTCTTCAAATACACACACACACACACACACACACACACACACACACACACACACATATATATATATATAATGTTATATCTTTCATTATCTTTCGTTATTCAATAAGACCAAATATTATCAGATTGTATCATGGTATTGGAGCTAAGGTTCTCAAAAACCCACTCTTTCCTTTTCAGACCGAACACATCGTTGGTCTCTATTGACGCCGGTCGATCATGTCACTGACCGATCTCGATAATCGTGCCTAACAGCCGACAACGCCCATTGCCCCTCTCTTTCTCTCCAAAAACTATTAATATATTATCTCTCTCTCTCCCAAAAAATCATGCGTGTGAATGAAGAACGAGAAAGTTACATTTGTCTGTGTTTTTTCGAGAGATCGGGAGCACGAAACGCGATAGAGAAGCATAGAACGGCCTGAAAGGAGAAAAAACTTATCGCCCTCACTCTAATCTTTAACACTCTCACTAGAAAAAACTCAGCAAACGTAATCTCAAGCTCATTCGTCATGCAACGAAAATATGACTATATATATCTATTTCTAGAGGCTATCCTCACAGAAGTTCTTCCAGTGGCTCAAGTCCAATACTCGTTCTCCAAGCTTCTCCTCGTTACCAATGATCAGCTTGCGCAGAGATATTAGGAATAATAGATGTATTAGGAAATGTAATATTATTATTTATTACATTCCTTATTACATTACTTTCTTATTGTATTGTTAATATAATTCTTCTCCTACTTAGTTTAGAATTCTCTTTCGTAATCCCTATATATACGAATCTGTCCTTCATTATTCAGTAAGACTAATTATTACTTCCTCCGTCCCAAATTATTTGTCATATTTCTATTACCGAGGCAAAATATCAAGTTTTTTCAATTCATTCTATTTACATATTGGTAAAGAAATAAAAAATAAAAATTACACATAAAAAAATTACATGAAAAGTTCTTCGAAATAAGAGGTGTCAAGAATATTTTATTTTATCAAATAACCAATGAAAACGTCGAAATAAACAAAAGTTCCCGCGACTGCTGAAAAAGCAAATGTTGTGAATATTTAGGGACGGAGGGAGTATCAAATTGTATCAAATTTGATAATAATTGTTATTATTGAATAATGAAAGATCCATCCCTATATATAGAGATTACGTACTATACAGTATTCTAATCTAAGAATAATAATTATATAAACAATACAATAAAGAAATAACATAATAAGGTCCGCCACCGCAAAAGCGACTACCATTTGCTCTTGCATGGCGTCCAACGTTTTTGAATCAATGACCTTAATGTAAATTGCATTGAAAAATTAACAAAGTCTGGTTATTGTCTCCCCCCCCCACACACACACACATTTATTGGTAATATCAATATAATTGCCACCAGTAGAAAATGCTAAATCAGTACATGGAAATAATGAGATTTAAGGCTGTTTAATTTCAAATCTTTCATCGAAATGCGACTCTTAATTTTTTAACATACTTTTGTGAAACTTTTATAATACGTATGTTTGAGAAACTGAAAAGAGTTGGGAAAAACTAGAAACTAAAAGAAATTAGAAGTTGGAAAAAATCAAACGAACTTTAAAAATAAGTTATACTCCATTCAATTCATTTCCAATATTTTCTCTTCTTATTTGTTTCCATGTCACATTTTTTTTATTTTTAGTGTTTTTTATTTTTTATTTTCTTTATTATGTCACATTATTTTTGTGACTCACAGCCATTAGTACTTTTTCTGAAATCTTTGCTTTTTAAATAAATACCACTATTAGGCCGTCTGTAGTGCCACCCTCCCCGGCCCCACGCGTGATCTGCCGTGGTTATGTCACGTTCCTCCCTCCCTCACGCGAACACCGCCCCCCTCCCCTCGTGGCCGGGACACATGAGTGCATCCGTGGTCACGACCACGGGTGCTCCACTGCCCGTCCGATCATTTCTTTTTTTCTTTCTTTCCAATGGTCATGTTGACCCAAAAAATTGAATTTTTTTCTGCCAAATTTCAAGCCCACTAACTCCTTCTCTCTTTCTATTTAAACAAACCAATTCAAACTAATTTTGAACACAATCACTTCTTCATAATCTCAATTTTTATTATTTTTTTACAAATTTTATATTTCTACTCACAACATGAATCCAAAAAATTCTAATTTTCCGTATTTTTACAATCTCAAAAATCGCCCCGCCATCAATTCAAATGATCCGAATGCCGGAATATGTTTGATGATTTTTATCGTCTGACTTTCGAAGGATTTGAGTATTGGACTCCATTCCCGAACTTCTTCTTGAGTGGCTCTCAACTCTCAAGGTTTAGCGTTTCCCAATTTCATCTCGGAGACTCAACCTCATTACATACAGGAGACGCAATCTCAGCCTGAGGCGGAGTCTGGGAAGAAGAAAAAATGTTCAAAGAAAAAAGGCTCCACTTCAAAAGAAGGTGACCGACATGGCGTTCCTAAGCACGAAGTATGAAGGTACGGGAGAACATGATCTTGCCTTGATTTCTTTGAGATAATGAATGACAAAATAATAAAAGAATATGCGGCCAAACGTGATCGTGATCAAGTCTAGATTTTTTATATTTCCTATGTTTTTCATGTTTTCCTTTCATGTATTTTTTTTCTTAATTTATGTAATGCATGCATGTACTTTTCTTTTATTCAACATGGTGTTTTTTAATTAATAGTATGTTTGTACAATAATTTGTTACAGTATAATATAAAAAAGGAAAAAAAAATATAAACGAAAAATTATTAATAACGAAAAAAATTTAATTATGAACAAATAATTTATAAAAATAATGTATAAAAATAATTACGAAAAAGTTAATTACAATAAAAAATAAGAATGAAAAGAAATAAAATTATTATTTTATAAAAATTATAATTTCATTTGAATAGAAAATTAGAAATATGTAATTATTTATAAAAATAAAAATATAATTATTACAGTTATGGTGAGGCATTACAAATGTACAATAAGTGAAATCATGGGTAGAGTCAATGCTGAAGTGGCGACGAGTGACGGTTGATTTGGAGTGAACACTGGCATTAGAGATAGTGTTACAATTTCTCTAAGTATGACACACTATGCCGAGTGATGACTAAGGCGAAGGAGCAGCAACAAAGGTTGAATGGCAAAATAAAAAACAATTACTCAAATTAATAAATTAATGGAGAGTAATTGATAAAAGAGAAATGGGGATGTTATAAAATATGGACGTCATAATTGTAACCCTGTGAGCCATTATTAACCCACGTGTCAACTTCTGAGTGGAAGGACATTGTCCTTTTTTTTAAGTGAGTACCTTAAGAAAACCCTAATAGTAAAAAAAATTTATTACAACAAGTAGTAATGACCATAGTTTTCAGAATCGAACCGGGGATCGAACCGGTCAAGGCACTGGTTCACTGGTTCACTCGCAAAATAAAATACAATTACTCAAGTTACTAATGACTGATGACGCCGCCATACTTTGTTTTAGGGCACGCCGGGTTACGTGGCACTCTAAAAAAAAGGAAAAAACGGGAAAAAAAGTCACCTGGAGCCCAAGAAAAGGTTAGCAAAATTAGGTCATCCGGCTATTTGTATACTCCGATCCCTCCCTCCCATGAAACATGAAATGTTTTGTTTTTTGAATAGATTTAAGGGAGTATATTTTGGTATTAAATTTCCAAAAATGTCTTTTGATGTGATGTGTAAAAGTAGGATTTGATGGGTAGATTATTAGTAAAAAGATACGATGTGATAGGTAGAGTATGAAAAAGTAAGGGGTAAAAGTGACTTTTTAATAGAAATGAGAAATGTTTTATGGGACGGATGACAAAAGAAAGGAGAAATGTTTTATGGGACGGAGGGAGTATATAAGTGTGCCCCTGCATTCTCTCCTTCACAACTTTTATACATTCACTTATTCCAGGAGATATATATATATATATATATATATATATATATATATATATAGAGAGAGAGAGAGAGAGAGAGAGAGGGAGAGAGAAACAAAGATAATCGATCGAGAAGATGATGACGAAGACGGAGAATGGTCTTCGTTTCCGACCAATGGAGGCGGAACTGCTAAAGATGTTACGACAGTTCACTGACGGGGAGTACACCGGCGGCCTTGTGGAGCAACGTCATCTCTACGCGGATGAAGAGCCCTGGGAGATTTGCACCGGCCGTGGCACGGCAGCAACCGACGACAACCCCTGGTACTTCTTCACGGAGATGAAGCGGAAACCGGCCAATAAGGGCCCGGGGAAGAGGTTTATCCACTCCGTGGGGAAGGGGACGTGGCACGGGACGAGTAAAGTTGAGACTATTTTCAACCCAGAGCGGAAACAGGCTCTCTTAGGGTTCAAGAGGAACTTCACGTACAGGGGCGGAGATGACGAGGAGCGCAAGGGCGAATTCGTCATGAACGAATTCTCTCTCCCGGAAGGCACCGTCAAATATGACCACTTTTACCCTTACCTTTTCATACCCTATCTATCACATCACAATTTTTCTCTAATACTCAATCCATCACATCTTACTTTTACTCATCACATCAAGGGCAAAATTGGAAGTCAACTATAATTTAACACTTCCTTATTTTTACACAAAGTCAAAATAGGAACACTTTTATAGAACGAAGAGAGTACTTATTGATTGTGAAGAAAACCCTATAGAAATAATGAAGAAAATTGTGAAGAAACTGCCACAGTTTTATTGTGAAGAAAAACTTTGTTATTTCATTTTTCAAAAAAATTAAGAAAAAAATAGTCGTGATATACGTAACAAAATTTTCAATTCTTTTTAATTAAATATTGATATAGAAATAAAACAAAAATTACATATTGAAAATGTAAATGAAAAAATCTTTGAAATAAGAAATGTTTAAAATCATTTATTTTATTAAATAATCAATAAAAATTACAAATAAACCAAAAAAATGTTCTTGTTCAAAAATGAAATATGACAAGCATACCGGGAGAGTATAAGTTATTTTAGTTAAATAAATCTTGATTTTCATGGTGCTTTAAATACATGATAACAATTAACAAAATATAAAAGGAATTATGTTAGCTGAAGAAAAAGAAAAAAAATTACACTATTAAAAGGAATTATGTTAGCTGAAGAAAAACAAAAAATAATTACACTGTTAAAAGGAATTATGTTAGCTGAAGAAAAACAAAAAATAATTACACTATTAAACCATCTCCAGATAACATAATGACTTTTAATAGTGTAATTCCAACCGTTAAGCATCGTTGCATCCATCATTATTCAAATCGATGCAATGGAGACAGCCATGACGGAGATGGGAGGCGACGGCGATGTGGAGGACCAAAGGAAAATGACATTCCAAATATTATTCTCGCCGGAAGTCATACATTCAAAAAATGGAAAATGACTTTCACAAATAGGCTTTGAATTGAAAATACTCCCTCCGTCTCGAAAAACATGAGAGTTTTGATTTTGAAGAAGGATTTAAGGAGAGTGTATTTTGGTATTGAATTTTCAAAAATGTCCTTTGATGTGATGGGTAAAAGTATGATTTGATGGATAGATTATTAGTATAAAGGTATGATGTGATAGGTATGGTAGGAAAAAAGTAAGGGGTAAAAGTGACTTTTTAATAGAAATGAGAAATGTATTTTGGGACGGAAATAATTTCAATACGATCAGTGACAGACCTATTAAAAAGGGAATGGGGTGAGAAAGTTGCTTAACTAAATACTCTCTCCGTCCCTGAAAACATGAGAATTTTGATTTTAAAGGAGGATTTAAGGGGAGTGTATTTTGGTATTGAATTTCCAAAAATGTCCTTTGATGTGATGGGTAAAAGTATGATTTGATGAATAGAATATTAGTAAAAAGGTATGATGTGATAGGTAGGGTATGAAAAGGTAATGGGTACAAGTGACTTTTTAATAGAAATGAGAAGTGTTTTTTGGGACGGATAAAAAAAGAAAGGAGAAAGGTTTTCAGGGACGAAGGAAGTATTTGAGTTGAATTTATTATGTTTTCACGCATGGATCTAAACTTGTGTTTGAATTAAGTATTAAAACTTCGGCACTCTTTTATATTACTCTCATTAATATTTAAATTAAATGTCTTAAAATCTTTTGAAATATGATGTGTTTGGATGCTAATTATCTAATAACAACCTGATCCGCTAGTTCATGTATTCGTATTACGCGGGTAGC